ACAACGAACAGTTGGTGACAAACTACGAAAGTCATTTCGTATAGCAATTCCCAAGTTTGGTTTCTATGTTTTTTTTTAATTTGTTTTCTAAATATAAAGTTTATCGAAAATAAGCAATACTATAATAATCTATTAGGTACTTAGTTCTAGATTCCTAATTAGGATTTTAAATTACCACACCCTGTTTATTGTTTAAATTATTCTTTTCTCTTCGGTACTTTATGCACTGACCATGTTCACACTGCATCATTTGAAGGTTGACTAGGGAAAATGTCTGTGGTATTGAACATAGGATAGGCTAAAAAAAATACTTAAAAAAAATTAAAATATGTTGACGAGATTTTCAGTAGAACTCCTTCATTCCAGCAGCAGACTGTCACAATTTGTTGATGACGATAACACCCTATTTAATAAGTTATTTATTATTCTTTTTAATTTCTAAGTGTATTTTATCTACGTAGGTACTGATATTTAAACGCACCTGCTACCTAACTTAAGTAAGTAATCATTTTACATTCGGATAGTGATAAAAGACAAGTCTGTTCATTATTTTCGTAAATTCCTTAATTTAATTTAGTACCTATACGTATTTAATCAGTCGCGGAGAACCTAACGGGTAACCGGGGCTCCGGCTCGACGTGCAGGAGAAGGAACGGGGTGGTTTTTAGTCAGTAAGAGTCTGTCACTCCCTCCCGCCTCACCCAGGCGAGAGCAGTCATTCGATGATTTTCCCCCCTTAAAACAAACGTATTTAATCAAGATAGATAGCAATCTAGGTCTTTACTTACCGTGTAGGTAACGGTTACTTACAGGTTTCTTACTCAATTGAATATTTTATAGACTGACGCAGAGGATTTGTAGTCATAAAGTATTGTAACACTTCTTACAAGTCCCCTCAATTTGATTAAATAGCTGCAACTCCTCTACTATAGGGGACTAAACCTATCAGGATATACTGTTGTTCACAACACTACTTCTGTTCTGATTCTAAGTCAGGGTAAGTACACAATGAAGTATGAAAGTGTTCCGTCAGTGAACATAACTAAATAGAACCAATAAATCTCTATTTTCCTCCAGTTCCTAGAACGAAGAAAAACTTACATCTCCTTTCTTCAAGTTTCTTCAAACATAAGTACATCTACTACAGTATTTCGAACATCGAAATGTTTTTGGGTACAATATATTTTACGTCGTCAATTACCCGGGAACACCTGTGTCCCGGGATGGCCGGGATCGATAGGCGGAGTCGACCGGGATTGGCGCATCCCTACACTGGGCGGAGCCGCAGATGATGCTACAACGAAAGCATTAACATGGATCTATCTGATTTAGTTAGATTTTTTATATTTAGAACAAAATCAGAATTTAGTTAAACCAAAAAGAATATACTTCAACAGTATGATGGATGTCTTAAATAGGTCGATGAAACTCGTTTTAAATTTTTTGTGGTTTCTATGCTATCAAGGTGATCAGTTCTCGATAGAATAGTAGGGAATATCAATTCTATTTACATAATTTACATGAGGTAGACATTCACTTGAAAACAGTACGTCCTTCTGAAATAATTCGGGGAAAATAAAAAAAAAGGTTTTATAATCAAAATACTAAGCCTACATGCCTTCTTAAATACAATGTCGCAATCATTTAGTAATTAATACAATTTCACCTTGGATATAATTTTAATCACCTAATCGGTCAGTGTGATTTCGATAAAAAATGGAAACATACATTGTTTGAATGGAATATTAATGACACACTTCGATTTCAATTCATTATTTTACTACTTCAGTAAGCAAATTTATACCTAAGCATGCAGTTCCGTTTGTGGATCCTGGTTTGGGCATTTGTATTGTCTAGGTCAGAGCTTTAATTTTGATCGCATTTCTTATTATAGGTAGCATAAAACATGTTATTCCTATATTTATACTAGCTGTAGTAACAACTTCGTCCGCGTGGAAAATGTAGCCTAAGTTACTCATTAGTACCTACATCAGCTAACTGCCATTAAAAGTCTCGTCAAAATCAGTCCAGCCATTTCAAAGATTAGCCAGAACAAACAGACAGACAAACTGACAAACAAAAATTTAAAACAATGTTACTTTGGTGGATGTACCTATGTATTTACATTCATATGCATGAAGTAAAATGTGGTTATTTTGTATTAGACAGACACTCCAATTTTATTTAAATAGAGGTTTAGGGAACAGACAGGGTGAAACTCCAGTGAGTCGGAGAGATGCGTTCGCAGTGTCCCACGGTGAGTCGGGGAAGAGATGCTGCGAGGGTAGGTGCGTAGTGGCCGGCATCTGCGTTGACGGGAGGAGATGTCCTTCAGAACCGTGTGCAGAAGTGCTGTGCCTAGACGCTGGTGAGGCCGTAGGGAAGAACCAGTCTGCACAACTTCGTTGCAGGTAATGGTGGTCCCTGATGAGGCCGAGGATGCTGGTTGGCTGCGACTTGGTTACCGCTCAGCGGAGAAGTGATGAATGAGAGGGATGGCGATACGGATGACGGTGCTAATCTGCTCCGTGAAGTGAAGGTTGTTTCCGATCACGTCGGGGTCACCACTTTAGGGAACAGAGAGTATAGTTCCCTAAGATCGGAAAAGGAGGATCCTCCGACCAGGCGAGGTGATCGTGCCTGGCGGGCTTTCTGCCCAACAGTTGTTCGTTGGGATTTTCTATCCGTGTTTATTCGCTTGTAAACTTTGCATGTGCGATGTAGGATTCTTATGACGTCATCCGTTGACATGTGACATGCGTCGCCACAGAGGTATATATACGTATAATATCCTCAAGCGGTCACTGGTGACCGCTCTCCACTAACTACATTATAGACCTTATTTCCAATCTTTAGAGACTACTTTTATTTGAACAAATTTAGGGGATGATTTTCATCAATTTCTGGTCCAGACTTTCCATACAAATTTACCTACAAGTAGAGTTACGAAAAGACGTATCAATCACCTGATGATATGTAATCAGCACTGCCTATAGACACCTGCAACACCAAAGGTGGTGCACGTGTGTTGGGGGCCTATTAGACACCTGACACGTCGCCCATGGACACCTGGAACACCAGAGGCGTTGCAAGTGCGTTACCGGCCTTTTGGGATTAGGAATTTGAGGATTGTTGGGGATTCTGGGATTGGGAAAGGATAGGAGGGGAGGGGGGGGGGGCGGTTAATTGGGCCTCTGGTAACCTCACTCACACGACGAAACACAACGCAAGCGTTGCTTCACGTCAGTTTGCTGTGAGGCCGTGGTATCACTCCGGTCGAGCCGACCTATTCGTGAATGTATCGATGAAAATACTTCTTACGTATCTACGTTACGTATTTGAATGGAAAAACTGCCTAAGAGTACACAAATACTTCCTAACATAATTATGTCCTAATAAAGTGTGATTTTAAAAATTCTCAAAATAGTTTTAGATAGAGTAAGTACCTACAATTTAAGACTAAAAATTTTTCAAAATCTCCTATAACGCTTTGGCCAACCCAGGAATCGACCGCAATGCCTAATCAGTAGTTGTACTTGCGACCATCTGACTAACGAGGCATGCAAATTGAAATAGAACAAAAAATAACATCGTTAAATATTATTACTACTTAATCCAAAAAATATGATTTGTATTCCAGTCTAAATATGACATTGGTTGCCGCCCTCAACAAGAGGGTTGGTCCAGCCCCTCTTTGAGAGGATAAAAGGAGAGGGATGCTGTCCTCCCGACTAGTGTGAATTTGAGAGAGATACCGTGTAGTGATCCTGACTAAATTATCTATAGTTTATTAGTTAATTTTTTGATTTTTTTAAATCTATGTTCAGTGTTTTTGAGATGCAAAATCCCGTTTGATGGTTAAGGTTGTTGTTCAAAGTACTTTAACTAGGTATGTGCTAAAGGATTATTATCTCCAGTAAAGAAAATGTGAGTACTTAATTAATTAATTTATTTATACGAATAGAACGGTACAAAAAACCATTTACACTACTCAATACCTACATATTCAATTGTAAGATCATTACATTGAAGAAAAAAATATATTTATTAGATACTTACTATAGATTCATCTTTTTCGCAAAACTTCAAGCATTCCGACAAAAATAATCTTCTTTCACTCGAAACACGTCACACTCTGGCACTGAATCCAAGAATCAGTTAAAAAGTTTCATCGTGCGTGGTAACGGAGATTTAGCTCTACTGATTGTTCTGCAAGATGGTACAGCAAATAACTGGTAAAACAGTTAAACAATTTTATTCCTTTTTGCAACAATGTTGACAAGCAGGATGGTAAAAGAATAAGAAAGATAATTGCTCCGTCTTTTTTGCTAAGATTTGCTGCCATTATCCTACTAATAAATGCGAAAGTTTGTGAGAACGTATGTGTGTTTGTGTGTGTGTGTTGTTACTCTTTTGAATTAGTTATCAGATTTAACTGTATTAGACATAAAACAGGGGTAGATTATGCTCTGGAATATTACCTACGTAGGTGTTTTTTATCGTACGAAAACGCGGGCGAAGTCGCTAGCAGAAATTAGTCCAGCATACATTTTACATTAATCGATTTCAATGTCAATAACGATATTATCTTAAGTATTAAAATGAAATGAAAGATTTTTTTATATTATTGCAATTTGTAAAGCATTGGATGATCGTATAATCGGGTAGGACTTGCCAACTAGTCAGATTCAATAGGTACCTACTTTTTTTCTAAACAAAAACCACAGTTTTCTATGAATTTTGTACGATATTATCTATTGTAACGTCACATTTTTTAGCGCCAAACAGCATACTTATTTCTTATAAATTTGCTGGAAAAAATACTAAAATTAAGTTGGTAATAGAATCAATAAATGAAAGTATGATTATTTTTTAATATTTTATTGTATTGAACAGTCGAAATAGTTTAATTTTGACTAAAAAAGTACCCAATTGGGGACTTCTTCTAGGCAAGATATATGCATGTATAGGAGACCTTCACTTCCATAGCAAAAGGCTTTATGAGAAGAGCTACCAAAGAATATCTAAAAACCACGTATAGGTAAGAATATAAATAAACGCACCGTAATTATACATAATAATTGATAGCAGACTTATTACCCCTACATGTCAAATAACTAAAAGAATTTATAATCCAGACCACCTGAAAAGATAGAAGATAGGTATATGACTTTTACCTACTCCCAGGGACGTCATATTGACAACTAGGTACCTCATTTCCATCACCAGTGATTAACGAAGATAGTCAAGCAGGTGTACAATAAATGGTTTCGATACAACCAGATAATGTTAAGCGACATACCTACCTCCTTAATGACCGCATATTTCAAATCCAACTGTTTATAACGAAAACTTAATGTTTCCTAAACGAAGAAATAAATGTCCATAATAAATTCATGGAGGCAGTGACGTAATTATCAAGTCGGATATTTCATAAAAAAATAAATACTAACATACAATATACATAGTAGGCAATGTTGTACACTTTTCATCATACCTATTACTAGACCAAGAGCTTATATCGCATGCATGAAAACTGCGAAATCCTGACCTTGGTAGTCGCAAGTCATGCAACTTCTGCTAGGATTATTAAAACATTTTAGATAACTGATTAAATCATTCTAAACATATCAAGATTCCCCCATATCCTGAAACACACTTGCGATTCCTCTAGTGTATATCTCTACTCTCGGTGGTCATCTACCGATGGCCGCCGCTGATCGCTTACCATCAGACGATCCGTCGGCGGTAGCAGATGGTTTGCTCCTTAATCCAAAAAAACCCACTGTAAACCATTATCATCACCTTAGTTTAGCAGTTTGAAAAGTTTGCAGGGTAAAGAAAGAAAAAATCAGTAACGCAAGAGAGATATGTCGTATTCTAGTGAACAACGAGGAAATGAAGAAATGGCGGCTAATTCAGAAAGTACGGATTTTCAGCCGAATCTAGTTGAACCATTGAGATTTGAGATTACAAACGAATAACCCAATCAATAAAGCAAAATAAATAAAGTATGAGTTGAACCGCTTTGCTCCAACGGCTATCAACACTTCGATACTTGGTAAAAGTACGCCGTAATTATCTTTGAAACTAGTTATTGGACGTGTCAAGTTTTTGTTGGTTTCAGTTCCTCTTTTAATAGTAGATTCGGCTGAAAATCCGATTATCTAGAAAAAAAATCACAAGTTAAATCAGTCTAGAGTCAGAATTTACAAATCTTTAAGTTCATACCTTTGACATTTTAAAGGTAACTGGTTAATTTAGAAAAGTTACTCCTTCTCCTGTACAAAAGCATTGTAGTACCATCATCTTATTTTATTGCAAATATTTACAAGCAACCCTATAAGAGAAATAACACGTATGTTTTGATTTCCTATCAAATCGAATTGACTGGCCGCAAGGGTAGAGTGCTCGAGATAAATATTACAACACGCGTTCACACCTACAGCTAAGCGAGCTCTTTAGGGAATAATAAATCCGTATTTATTCTCTTTATATCGCCCCAACCCTTTGGTAATCGAATCATGTCCTCTAACCGTATCGAATCGATTCGTTTGACGGGTGCGGACGCCTCTATTTGTTACTATTCCGATTCTTGTATTACAGTTCTATAACACTTGACTGATAATAATGATTGGTTGCGTTATCTATGGGTAAAGTTTCCTTTTTTTTGCAATTGGTTTAATGGAAGTAGTAATATTCTCTTATTTATACAAAGAATTTACTCTCACGTCTTTGTCGCATGTACTACCTATGTATGTATGACCCTTGCTTACTACTTTAACTTCCATTATATATAAGCATAATATTAGCCCGCGGGTTAATTTAATTTAGTACTTTGTTGTACCTACTTGTCGTTTTTTAATATCTCGAATCATAGCTTATCATAATTATGATCTCCTGAAAATATATATAATTTTCTCCTGTATCGTGGGTGCGTTTAAAAACATACAAGTTCACAAATACATGACAGCCAAGTCTGAAACAACAATCTGTGGATCACACAAAAAAGTAGTCCGTGCGGGAATCGAACCCGTGACTCGTTGCGCAACAGCCAGTTGCCCAGCCACCACACAGCGCTGCCCGTAACATGTGAAGGTACTTTATGTATGTATTCTTTTACAGTGTCACTATGAAGAGTTGGTTGGAAGCCAGTGGCATGGACGACGGGTCCATGTCCTGTTTGCTCTCAGAACCACGGGAAGCATTGCTCCCAATCACGGGAAGAGAGAACTTGGCTCCGAGAAAAAGGTAACAAACGCAATACGTAACAAACTAGGTTTATTTATTACATGAAGGCAATTAAGATGTGTCTAAAACTATAAGTACTCTTTGGAAAATAAAAAAACAGGATTCCCTTTTTATGGATTATACCTATTGTAATTAACTTCTAGACTTCGTATCTGCGTTTTAATTGGTAACTAGACCTAGAAGACATTGTTGGTATAAACCAATCAACCAAGTTTAATTTTTCCTAATAATAATACTTTAAGTAGTAAGTACCTACCCGTATAGATAGTTAGATACATTCATATATTAGATATGATATCTCAATAATAAAAGCTAATATTCTAGGTGGAACGGCGTTAGCATGATATGCTACGCCGACGACACGCTGGTGCTAGCGCACGGGAGGTCGCACCAGGCGGCGGCCGATTTAATGGCGACAGCGGTTGCGACAGTCGTTGAGAGAATCCGGCAGTTGGGACTCGAGGTGGCGCTCCACAAGTCCGAGGCCATGTGTTTTCATGGCCGCGGGAATGCGCCACCTCCTGGTGGGTCTCAAATAATGGCGGGAGGGGTTACCATCGGTGTCGAGACGGCGATGAAGTACCTGGGACTCGTCCTCGACAGTCGATGGAACTTCGTGGAGCACTTCCGACGTTTGGCTCCAAAGTTGGCGAGGGTGGGGGCTGCGTTTAAGCGCATCCTCCCCAACCTCGGGGGGCCAAACGCCTCCTGCCGGAGGTTATACGCCGGGGTCGTGCGGTCCATGGCCCTCTACGGCGCCCCTGTTTGGGCGCCGAACCTGCTGCAGCGGCCCGCTCGGGCGCTGCTTATGGCACAGAGGGTCATGGCGATCCGAATGATCCGCGGATACCGCACGATCTCTGGGGAGTCGGCGAACCTCCTTGCCGGATTACCACCGTGGGATCTGGAGGCGAAGGTGCTCGCGCGCGTGTATCGCATGCGCGCGGAGGCACGTCACCGGGGCGAAACTCTGCTGCCGCGCCAGATAAGTGCGTGGCGGGATGAGCTCCGGCGCGATCTCATGGCAGAATGGCAGCAACGACTGTCGCAACCGAGGGCTGGGCTCGCTGCCATTGCAGCGGTAAGTCCCCTCTTTGAGGAGTGGCTTGAGAGACGCTACGGCGTCCTCACCTACCGCCTGACGCAGGTCCTCACCGGACATGGAAGTTTCGGGAGGTACCTGTGTCTGATGGGGCGGGAGGAAACGCCCGGGTGTCATCACTGCGAGGACCACCCTGAGGACACGGTGGAACACACTGTTGCGGAATGCCCTGCGTGGGCTGAGCACCGCCGTGCCCTCAGGGAAGTGATCGGCGATGGAGACCTCTCGCGTCCGGGCCTAGTGCAGGCCATGATGCGGAGCGAGGGGGACTGGGATGCCGTCTCCTCCTTTTGCGAAGCAGTCATGCTGGCTAAGGAGGAGGCGGGACGCGTGAGGCAGCGAAGCGTTGCCTCCTCGCAACCCAGCCATCGCGAAGGACACACCGGGCGTCGGGGATCGCGGGACGATCTCCGGCCACCGTAAGCGCGGGCCTGCGGACGGCGAGCATGGGTGGCTCCCCGTCCGACCAGAAACAGACCCGAGCGTGCGGCGCGTCGCGTTCCGCGCGCGCCTCAAAGAGCCATCAGACCACCACAGATGGGGCCCAATAGGGCCGATGCCGATTCGGAGTCGCGGAGAACCTAACGGGTAACCGGGGCTCCGGCTCGACGTGCAGGAGAAGGAACGGGGTGGTTTTTAGTCAGTAAGAGTCTGACACTCCCTTCCGCCTCACCCAGGCGGGAGCAGTCATTCGATGATTTTCCCCCCTTAAAAAAAAAAAAAAATATATTCTAGGTGACTAATATTCAAACTGGAATCACGATTAAATAAAATTTAATAATTTTATTATACGATAGAATACGACAAATCGAAATCTACTAGTAACTTCAACGTTTGTCATTTTAGGCAACGAAATAGTGCTAATTTAATTATACCACTTACAACCAATGCAGCCAGTTTCGAGCAAACTGTTCTTTATTACGAGTTCCGGGTGTGGCTTGAAATTAGTCGAGTAACCTTGTCGAATACTTGCATTAATACGTCTCACGGTAATTATAATTATATTACTATAAAGGTATCAATTCCTTATCCCCAAAATGCCGGTAACGCCCTTGAAACGCCTCCGGTGTTCCAGGTGTTCATGGGCGACGGCGTTTGCTTACTGTCAGGTGATCCGTATGCTCGTTTACCAGCTCATCCCATAAAAAATCAACCTTTATAGTAACATAATAATATATTACCAACCATGAGCCAGCGCCTGAATAAAAACAATAATGTTCATTCAATAAAATTCATTCAGTGATTCAGTAGGTACTTACAAATATATGAATAGAATCGCTGAGACTTTCAGAATCATTGATAACGTTTACTGATGATGACACGTTTATAGGTACACATTTTTCCAGTACCTCCCTATGTAGGTACTGTTATTCTTGAAATCTATTTGAGTTAATTGATATTTGTTATTGTTTCGAATGAATTTCAATAATGTTTCCTACCGTTCTAAACTAAAATATTTGTATTCATTTCATACAAATTCCTTGAAATAACTATCACAAAATTACTAGATAACTTAAAACTCGTTATTAATAATGAGCGGTGTGCACAACAGGGTTTTGCTATACTAAATCTATGCCAACTGACCATGCGTGCTTCTTCTTAGGGATAGAACATTGGAGCCGTGTGCACTTTCGGAGGAAGCTTACCTATCAAGCAGTGCTGGCTCCCCTTGTGCTGGTCTCTCGAGAGAAGAACGTCGCAGACGACGCCGAGCTACCTTAAAGTATAGAACTGCCCACGCCACAAGAGAAAGAATCCGCGTCGAAGCTTTTAATGCAGCATTTGGCGCCCTAAGAAGATTACTGCCTACCTTACCACCAGACAAAAAACTGTCAAAAATCGAAATTCTCAGACTCGCTATATGTTATATCGCTTATCTCAATCACGTGTTGGATGCGTAAGTCATAAAACTGATAGGGAAACCTAATCAGTTAATGTGTTAGATATCATTAATTTATTAGTCCCGGCTGCAATTGTGCCGGACAAAAGGCTAGGTCTGGACTAGTAACATTACTGGTGAAGAGTGGTTGTAAGATTTAAATGTGCGAACCTCCTTCTAAGAAGTGCGATGATGATTTTGTTGGTTATATATAAGCCTTGCTTTATTTTAGTATATGTCTACAAACTAAGGCTCAATATAATATCGCAATAAAACGTATTTCTCAATCTATCTTCTTATTATTTTACATAGTATGCATCTATGACTCACCGTATGTTATATCGTTAAACAAATTCTAGTCATAATTGTCTGTTATATAGTGTGTTTGTGTAAATTTCAGCCAGAAAATAAAAAACTTGATTAAAAAATGTTAATACTATTTATTTACAACTTAACTTTCTAGTCATAAGTTTAAATTACAATCATTCATGTCTTTGATAACTGCGATACACATTCTATCAGTTATTATATACACTTGAGGCATTATCTTGTATGGTACTCTTACTATTTAATTACATTGATATTACAAGATCTAGTTTATTTTTTTAACATATTATGTGTTTACCTTCTTAGACCGTCCAAATAACTCAATAGTACCGGGAAGAATACCATTCCGTGTAAGAAACCAAGGATAACTAAGCTCAAGAACATCCTAAAGAAAAATACTTCGATAATTTCAGTATACGAAAAGGCTAACACTATTATAGGAATGTTAGTAAATGTAATTCCAGTAATTATTGTGGCTCCTACTTTCTGAATGGCTTCTGCTATTTTTTCATCACCCTGACGTTGACTGGTAGAATAAGCGTAAGAAATGTGACTACAAAATTCCACGGCAATGCCGATAGATACAATCAAATTAACACAAGATACAGCGTTCAGAGGGATATTCCAAATGTACATGATTCCCATCATATTTACAATAACCAAAATCACGTTAAAAGTAACAGCGAACGTTGTTAAAATGTTGAAACCAGAAGCTATAAGATTAAAAAACAAAGCACCAAGAAGACATAACCCGATGGCCAGAAAAGTATCAGCCCACATGGTTAAATATTGTTCATAAAATACATAGAAAATAGAATAGGGGAACACCTCTATATCGAGACCTGTATGCTTTTTAATAGCGTCCATTATTTCACCACTGACCCTATAGCCGTTATCAACCGCAGTAATATAATCTTTCGAAGTACTTAAGGGTGAGTGATAAGCCATAAAATTCGTATCTTGGACAGTTGCTCGACCTTCCGAATCCAGTACATAGTTGACTGCTGCTGAATAACTAGCTAAACCAGCTTTATTGCAGATCTCAGTAGGTGGGTCTTGCAAGAAAAAAGGAATATACTTTTCAAATGCTTCCGGTTCAGGCCTCAATCTACCATTAGCGTAATCAGACCGTGAAATATTACAGTGTCTACAGTCCTCTGAATTATCCCCGCTGGCACAGAATCCATAACTTGAAGTATTATATTGGCAGCAAACTCCATATAAACCGGACCAATCGATAAAATCGTCTAACCAGGAATTAGAAGGTTTTGAAATATATGTAATATCACTATGTAAAGTGGCTAAAAATATTTGCATGTTCAGAGAATCTTTGTGACACAGCTGCCCTCCACAAATAACGTTTTGATGATTAGGATTAGTGTAATTCAAACCGCCTTTAACAACAAAGTATACTGGTGGTCCCATGCGGATATAGCTAGCAAGAGCTTGCAAGTAATGGTACACGTATGAGTCTGAAGGAAGCGCCATTTCTTGATCTAAACCTACTTCAAGATCCGGAACAAACATCACGTTGACAGAAACCAAAGCCATAAATAAAATAGCTACTACTACTTTAACGCGCCAATCAAGTATAAATTTTGAATATGGCACCATCAGCCTTTGAGTAACGCCTTTATAAGGAGTTTCAGAATGCAGGGGATTTTCATCATCCAATATTTTTTTCTGAACACAACAGAATAAGTCTAACCTATTTTGACTAGTTCTTTTATAGTCTAGGGCAAGTAATGCCACGATAGTAGTTATTTGAAAAACGAACAGAAATGCTAAGGAAAATGTTGCAAATACAGCAAATGTTACTACAGCAGGGAAGTTAGCAAGACAGCCAATAGCAAAACAAGTTATTTGTGTAACCGATGACACAAACATTGAAGGACCGACGCTTTCCAACATTTTTTCAAAGACATATCTTTTCCTTTTTTCGAAACTCCAGTCTTCTTTGTAATCGTCAAATGATTTTAAGTTACTTTGGATGTCATGAAGCGTGTTTACCATAAGAAAAACATTATCAATTCCTATAGATAAAATGAAGAATGGAATTACATTAATCGCTAGTAGTGTTAATGTTATCTGGGCATAACCCATTACACCCATCGCACACACAATTGCTACGACTACGGTAAGAATACTACCCAGGGCCACCATTACCTTGCTGTCGATACACCGAGTTTTACAAGATCTCACATTTCCTAAAGATATTGTTACATAAATAAACATGAGAATGTAACTTATGGTAATTGGCACTGCTTCCGCAACGGAAACACGTTGAATCTCATCTTCTATTGATCTCTCTGCTGAATAAGCCACAGAAACAAACTCCGGATCAACATTATTTTTATATTCATGTAAAAGGTCTAAAAACTTTTGTTCCCATTCTAATACTGGTTCTAGGTCTTCGTTCAAAAGAAAGTTCGATATGGGAAAATTAATAAGAAGAGTATTGGCACTTAAGATATCACCAGGTTCAAAACCCCCAAAAGCTAAATCAGGTTCAGCTCCGCCACCCCATGGAGCTAAACAACCAAATCCGTAGTGATTATTTATACAACTCTGAATCTCGCTAAGATAAGTAGCATTATTAATTGTATTTGTGTTGCTTAAATAAGAGGTAGCAGACATAGACACACAGAGATTAACATCTTTAGGAGAATTTTGTGCTCTAAGGGGAGCATAGCATACGTCAGCTAAAGTAACTCCGCCTCCCTCACTGTTTATGTTTTTAATTTTATTTTCAAGTTTAACTAATTCCTGTATTGATTCTAAGTGAAATGCAGGGCCGTACCACTGCTCACCATCCTCATTAGTAACGTTGAAGGGATTTGAATGAAAAGTTAAGAACACTTGCGCGGTGCGATAAAATGGACCAAATCTTTCATTGAAAAAATTCAATTCCTGACGGCTTCGAGAATCTGGTGCTGACCAAAGTTCTATTGGATTTGAAGTTAAATTCAGATTCATTACACCCCATACCATTGCATACAGAACCCAAGATGTAATCATTATTATTAAAACAGGGTTGCTCGCAGACAATCCTCCAATCTTCGCGAATAGTACTTGAAACATCTTGGTCATCTTATTTGGCCCAGACATACCTTTTTTAGCTATTGGTTCTTTGTTCTGTTTTTTACGTTGTACACATGTCAATATAATAAATATTATTACACTGATAGCAAAGAAACCCATCCCGATAGAAAATCCAACACAAGTAAGTGTTAACACATTGCATATATCCGGAACGTAAGGTTCACTATCTGGACATGTACTTATGCAGTCCATACAACTACACGGAAGATCACCCTCGTAAGTTTCATAACAAGGTAACACTTCTTTGTGCATTGAAGTGTCTTTGTCAGATGTCATAATAAAATTTACTTGTACCGGTGTTATAGGATTTGCTTGTGTATCTCCAGTGAATGAAAACCAAGCTTCTGCTGTACAATTTACTGCACTACCACACATCATGGTTAGAGCATATGTACCTGTCTGTGGCACGATGACATCAGAGCAGGAAGAATGAGTTCCCAACATAAAGTCTTCATGAAGTCTGTAGTTTATTTCGTTGACGTATACCTTATTGTCTGCACCCACCTCGGTTTTAACTTCCACGAAACGAGACTGATCGGCTGCACAGTTCATTTCGCAAATTTGCCTTGCAAAATTTCTAAAGCAAGTTGGACACCGACCAAGAATACTCTCAGCGAGTGTTAAACTTTCTGCCATACTGAACACTTGCTGTGAAGAGCAGCATGTATAAATCTCATCGGCTGGTAATCTGTTTCCTTCATCATCGATAACAAACGTGGGACAAATTCTTTCAAATGTTGATATTACACTTTCAACATCTTTATCTTCTACATCTGAAATTATTTTTAATGCTTCTGTTTCTGCATAGCATGGCTTTATTTTTCCATCTAAACCATCACATTCGCCACGCATCACACATTTTGCATTAACACTACACCAGAGAGTCAAAAAACACAAAACTGCTATGGACAACTGCATTTTGAGTTATTTACTTGGTTTGTACACACTAATTTAAAGCAACATTGCTACTATAACAAAAGGACTGTCATCGCCAAGTATGGCGATATAAATGAAAAAAAATCGGCCGGGTGAATTAATCTAGCTGTTCTAATCTATGCTAAGTAATCGATAACTTATCAGAAATTAACGCAGGTGTTGAGATTATAGTGTCATTGATAGCAACTATGTAGACGTTGTTCTACATATTATCTTAAAGAAGGTAATAAAAATTAATAAGTAGGTACACAGGTGCAGATGAAGCTCATGTTTTGCCACTCTTTAGAAACTCCAGAGTCCATCAATCTCATTGCTAAAAACGCAGCTTTTCACTTCTTTAAGTCTTCTATTGAAATCTTTAATCGTACAATACCTGTTGTAGTTTTAACATAAATATGGTTAATAGTGGAGTAACTAAAAGTTGTATTACCTATATACTAATCCTAATATACTAATTCTAAGTCCCATTTAACAATTTCAGGTATATACCTAGGTCCCATAGGTTTTAGGATAAGACCTAAGTCCCATTGGTTTTTATATTATGATGTATTTGATTTTAATGCTATTTATATTCATAAGATACCTAGTTTATTTATAAAATTCCAGGGACAGCACGATATTTAAGTAAAAATTAAAATTAAGTAGCCTCGTTCTTAGTATTAGAGCGTTAGGTAAGTAAAAAGAATTAAACACCACCAAACATATCCAGAGTTCCAGACCATTATATCCAGGGAATCCAGTGACAAGATGCACAGCACAGAATCGAAACTTTTTTTTTTTTGTAAAAAACGTTGCCCCACACTAGGATTTTTTCCTGTGTCGTGGGTGCGTTTACAAACATACAAGTTCACATACACAATAACACCCAGACCCGAAACAACAATTTGTGGATCACACAAAGTGTTGTTCCGTGCGGGAAACGAACCCGCGACACGTTGCACGGCAGCCGGTTGCCCAGCCATCGCACCAACTGTGCAGTCAAACTATCGTGAGAACATAAAATAACACAAAGCGAATATGTACATGTATGTAATGATGTTCTTATTTATTTTGCAAGAAACTGCACCAATAAAAGTATAATGAATTTATAATTCAAAGTCAAAGTCAAAATCATTTATTTCAATTAGACCAGGAAGGCAGTTTTGAGCGTCAACAACAAAAAAATTTGAAGTGAAGCTAGTTGCTCATTCCAAGATGTAGATTCCTATGGAGAAGTTTCCGATCATTGTTTTACTTTACATTAAGACAAAAGACCTTTTACCTTACCATGACATGTTTTTATAATACTATTGGTAACGGACCATGTAGAACACTGTTTGATTGCTCCATTGTTTCCAAAGAAGAGGTTTCCCCATTAATGATGGCGCAGTCAAATAGTGGATTGGACATCCGAAATTCCCACTTACTATAAGCCTTGCTCTATTTTAGTATATGTGTACCAACTAAGGCTCTCTAAATATATGTAATATCGCAATAAAACGTATTTCTCAATCTTTCTTCTTATTACTTTACATAGTATGCATCTATGACTCACACACACAGTATGCTATATCGTTGAACAAATTCTAGTCATAATTGTCTAGTATATAGTGTGTTTGTGTAAATATCAGCCAGTAAAATAAAAAACCTTGAATAAAAAATGTTAATAATATGTATTTATTTACAACTTAATTTTCTAGTTATAAGTTTAAATTACTATCATTAATGTCTTTGATAGCTGCGATACACATTCTATCAGTTGGTATATACACCTGAGGTATTATATTGTATGGTACTCTTACTATTAAATTACATTGAAATTACAAGATCTAGTTTATTTTTTAACATATCATGAGTTTACCTTCTTAAACCGTCCAAATAACTCAATAAGACTGGGAAGAATACCATTCCGTGTAAGAAACCAAGGATAACTAAGCTCAAGAACATCCTAAAGAAAAATACTTCGATAATTTCAGTATACGAAAAGGCCAATACTATTATGGGAATGTTAGTAAATGTAATTCCAGTAATTATTGTGGCTCCTACTTTCTGAATGGCTTCTGCTATTTTTTCATCACCCTGACGTTGACTGGTAGAATAAGCGTAAGAAATGTGACTACAAAATTCCACGGCAATGCCGATAGATACAATCAAATTAACACAAGATACAGCGTTCAGAGGAATATTCCAAATGTACATGATTCCCATCATATTTACAATAACCAAAATCACGTTAAAAATAACAGCGAACGTTGTTAAAATGTTGAAACCAGAAGCTATAAGATTAAAAGCCAAAGCACCAAGAAGACATAGCCCGATGGCCAGAAAAGTATCAGCCCACATGGTTAAATATTGTTCAAAAAATACAAAGAAAATAGAATAGGGGAACACCTCTATATCGAGACCTGTATGCTTTTTAATAGCGTCCATTATCTCAGCACTGACTCTGTAACTGGTTTCAATGGAAGTTATGTAGTCTTTGGAAGTACTAAGCGGGGAAAGGTATGCCATAAAATTCGTATCTTGGATATTTGCTCGACCATCTGAGTCAAGAACATAGTTGACTGCTGCTGAGTAACTACCTAAACCAGCTTTATTGCAAAGTTCAGTGGGTGGGTCTTGCAAGAAAAAAGGAATATACTTTTCGAATGCTTCCGGTTCAGGCCTCAATCTACCATTACCGTAATCAGACCGTGGAATACTGCAGTGTCTACAGTCCTCTGAGTTTTTACCGCTGGCACAGAACCCTTGAGTTGTGGTATTATATTGGCAACAAACTCCATATAAACCGGACCAATCGATAAAATCGTCTAACCAGGAATTAGAAGGTTTTGAAATATATGTAATATCACTATGTAAAGTGGCTAAAAATATTTGTGTGTACAGAGAATCTTTGTGACACAGCTGCCCTCCACAAATAACGTTTTGATGATCAGGATTAGTGTAATTCAAACCGCCTTTAACAACAAAGAACACCGGTGGTCCCATGCGGATATAAGTAGCGAGTGCTTGCAAGTAGTGGTACACGTATGAGTCTGAAGGAAGCGCCATTTCTTGATCTAAACCTACTTCAAGATCCGGAACAAACATCACGTTGACAGAAACCAAAGCCATAAATAAAATTGCTACTACAACTTTAACGCGCCAGTCAAGTATAAATTTTGAATATGGCACCATCAGCCTTTGAGTAACGCCTTTATAAGGAGTTTCAGAATGCAGGGGATTTTCATCATCCAATATTTTTTTCTGAACACAACAGAATAAGTCTAACCTATTTTGACTAGTTCTTTTATAGTCTAGAGAAAGTAATGCCACGATAGTAGTTATTTGAAAAACGAACAGAAATCCTAAGGAAAATGTTGCAAATATAGCAAAAGTTACTACAGCAGGGAAGTTAGCAAGACAGCCAATAGCAAAACAAGTTATTTGTGTAACCGATGACACAAACATTGAAGGACCGACGCTTTCCAACATTTTTTCAAAGACATATCTTTTCCTTTTTTCGAAACTCCAGTCTTCTTTGTAATCGTCAAATGATTTTAAGTTACTTTGGATGTCATGAAGCGTGTTTACCATAAGAAAAACATTATCAATTCCTATAGATAAAATGAAGAATGGAATTACATTAATCGCTAGTAGTGTTAATGTTATCTGGGCATAACCCATTACACCCATCGCACACACAATTGCTACGACTACGGTAAGAATACTACCCAGGGCCACCATTACCTTGCTGTCGATACACCGAGTTTTACAAGATCTCACATTTCCTAACGATATTGTTACATAAATAAACATGAGAATGTAACTTATGGCAATTGGCACAGCTTCCGCAACGGAAACACGTTGAATCTCATCTTCTACTGATCTCTCTGCTGAATAAGCCACAGAAACAAACTCCGGATCAACATTACTTTTATATTCATGTAAAAGGTCTAAAAACTTTTGTTCCCATTCTAATACTGGTTCTAGGTCTTCGTTCAAAAGAAAGTTCGATATGGGAAAATTAATAAGAAGAGTATTGGCACTTAAGATATCACCAGGTACAAAACCCCCAAAAGCTAAATCAGGTTCAGCTCCGCCACCCCATGGAGCTAAACAACCAAATCCGTAGTGATTGTTTATACAACTCTGAATCTCGCTAAGATAAGTAGCATTATTAATTGTATTTGTGTTGCTTATATAAGAGGTAGCAGACATTGACAGAGATTAACATCTTTAGGAGAATCTTGTGCTCGAAGGGGAGCATAGCATACGTCAGCTAAAGTAACTCCGCCTCCCTCACTGTTTATGTTTTTAATTTTATTTTCAAGTTTAACTAATTCCTGTATTGATTCTAAGTGAAATGCAGGGCCGTACCACTGCTCACCATCCTCATTAGTAATGTTGAAGGGATTTGAATGAAAAGTTAAGAACACTTGCGCGGGACGATAAAATGGACCAAATCTTTCATTGAAAAAATTCAATTCCTGGCGGCTTCGAGAATCAGGTGCTGACCAAAGTTCTATTGGATTTGTAGTTAAGTTTAGATTTATTGCACCAAATACCATTGCAAAGCCCACCCATGATGTAATCATTATTATTAAAACAGGATTGCTCGCGGACATTCCTCCAATCTTCGCGAATAGTACTTGAAACATTTTGGTCATCTTATTCGGCGCAGACATACCTTCTTTAGCTGTAGGTTCTTTGTTCTGTTTTTTACGTTGTACACATGTTAATATAATAAATATTATTACAGTGATAGCAAAGAAACATATCCCGATAGAAAATCCAACACAAGTAAGCGTTAACACATTGCATATATCCGGAACGTAAGGTTTACTATCTGGACATGTACTTATACAGTCCACACAACTACACGGAAAATCACCCTCGTAAGTTTCAGTGCAAGGTAAGGCTTCTTTGTGCATTGAAGTGTCTTTATCAGACGTCATCAAAAAAATTATTTGTACCGGTGTTATAGGATTTGCTTGTGTATCTCCAGTGAATGAAAACCAAGCTTCTGCTGTGCAATTTACTGCACTACCACACATCATATTTATTGCAGGCAAACCTGTCTGCGGCACGACGACACCAGAGCA